GCGGGAGTGCCACCGCGCTCCCAAGCGGTGCACTGTAGCAGTGCGCCACTGGGCCGGCCCCGTCACAGAAAAATTTCATTTACTCTATGGTTAATTTAATTTATGTTAATGATGGTAAAATGCCATCTTAACACATATATTATATTTGAAAGTAGGCATCTTGGAATGGTCACTGATTATGAAAATCTCTTCCATATATACAGTGTCTCAAAAGTCTTAATGCGATTTTAAGCTCTGATAATTTCAGAAGTTGAATTCTACAAACTTACCAAAAAAAAATTATTTCAAAATTTAGATATTTTACACTATTGTGAATTCTGAATAAACATTTTTTAAAAGTCCCTATTTGTCACCTTCAGAGGGACTAAAAAAAATTAAACTTTCAAACAATGCAATTTGTAAATTTGCAGCACTTACACTCCTGAAACTTTTAAAGCAAGTGGGGACTCTTCTCCCAGACGACCACAGGGCCAGTTCACTCACATCTTTCAGGTGTTCATTCAACAGTCACGTTCGCAGTGAGGCTCTTCTTGACCACCAAATCTAAAATTTCAGCACCTTTTTGACCTAGATAGTTCATATCTCCTTTCCTAATTTACTTTTTTCTTCTTCTAGGACCTATCTAACATATGTTTTACCAATTTATTTTTCTCTATTGTCTGTTTCTCCAATTACATAAAATCTAGATAAAGGCAGAGATATTTATCTACCTGATTCATTGCTGTATTCTCAACTCCTAGAAAAGTACTTGGCACATAGGAGGCACTTAATAATTATGGATTAAATAATGTTGAGTGACAAAAAGAGGTTACATTAAATAGCATGATCCCAATGTTGAAAAACTAAAAATATACATATACCTGCATTATATACCCAAACAGAAGTAATGTTGAAAAGCATGCATACATAACTATATCTAAAGCTACATAGAAGAAACTCTGAAAGGAAACACTGAAGTTTTAGTGCTTTCTGATGTGAACTTGTTTACTTCCCTTAGGCAACCTAGTGATCTTCAGTACCTATAGGACAACCATCATGCTGCTAAATTTAGTACAGACACCTGATCAACACTATATTGCCTCATATAATTTCAAACCAAGAATGCAAGCATCTTCTGGTATCAGACCCCAGAGTATCTACGGGTTTCCCCACCAACCCCAGCAGAATGTTAAGAGTGTTTATCTCAGCAGGGAGAGAGAGACATTTGACTGATTTTTTTCCCCTTTAGCTTAACTAGACTTCACTAATTTCTTATAACAAAGACATTACTTTTACCAATAAATTATCAACTCAATTTATTCAAATACTTTAAATAAAATCAGGCATACTATAAAAAAAGGCACAATCTGTATTTCTTTAAATAAAAGTAAATTTCTATCATTCATATCTTTGATCAAAATAAAAATATATTCGTACATTTTGCTAAATCCAACAGAAACTTACTTTTCAGCAGTGTTTTTAAGACCTGCCAATTCCTCCTCTAAAGCCTGTAGTTCATTCTCTTTGATTCTCAGCTCATCTTGAACATCTTTGAGTTCTTGAAACTTGGTTAAAATAGAAGCCGCCTGAGATCGAGCACCTGATAGAGGCAAATTGAAACATGTTACCACATACACATGTTAAACAATAAAAAGTTTTCTAAGGATTATGCTGGAAATTATTCAATAGCAAATCTTTTAGTGAGCTTATAAAGCTACAGAATTAATTCCATCATGTGAACCTTAGGACATACATAATTACAAGGAAATAGTTTTAAGTACACGTGGTAAATTATTTATTCAAAATAATCACTGTCTCCCTCCAAGGCACATTTTCCACCATACTAACACTGGGTTTGGCCATGTGACTTTGCTGGCTAATGAAATGGGACATGTGCTCTGAAAATAAGCTTTATGAGGTAGCATATAATCCACCATTTGCTTTCCCTTTGCCATGAGAAAAGCATGTTCAAGATAGGAACTACTTTTCCTTCAGACTGAGTTCCAGAATGAGAACAACATTGTTCAGAGGCAACTGACCTGGAGAAAATGCAACATAATTATGAAATAAATTTGTTGTAAGCTACTAAGATTTGGGGGTTGTTTGTTACCATATTATAACCTGGCCTAAACTCTGATGTAGCAGACCAAGCAGAGCAAAATAATTTCACATTACAAGCAACTATAATCATCTGACAAAGATAGGATGAGGTATTATGTTGACAAGGAAACTCTGTATGTTTGATGAGAGAATGCCAAGGTCAATCAGAAATGCTGTTATGAACATTTTTTTTTTTTGTCCTTTTTTTGAGACTGGCTGCACCGCGCTCAGCCAGTGAGCGCTGTGAGCGCACCACTCATTCCTATACAGGATCCGAACCCGCGGCGGGAGTGCTGCTGCGCTCCCAGCGCCGCACTCTCCCGAGTGCGCCAGGGGCTCGGCCCAAATATTTTGTTAATAAGAAACAGGGTTACATATTTTCCATCCCATAAGTAAAACTTCAGGAGCATCCAAATCAATATAATCTAAAACGTTTATTGTGTTTTAGATATTTAACAATCTTTGGTCTCTCTTTATGTTTCATTTGCAGATATTAGTCATTTTATTATATACTGGGGAACCTGATACTTGATCATGAAGTTCATTTAACTGGCTACTGTTTTCTTGGTCTACAAAGAACTTAAATCACCTGATGTCTCAGGAGGCATTATATAGTCTACTGGGTTAAAAGCACAAACTCTGAAATCAGACTGCCTGGATTCAAATTCCGAGCTTTGCCATTTACAAGTGAGTTATTTAACCACTCTACCTTAATTTCTGCAACTGTATATTGGAGATGGTAGTAATATGCCTACCTATAGTTGTTATTAAGGATTAATTGTTTAAAGCCCAAATAACAGAGCTTTATAGAATAACAGAAATGTTCTATGTCTTCATTGTCCAATTACCCAACAACTGTTTGTTGTTATTGAGCCCTTAAAATGTAACTAGTGCAACTGAGGCAATTATTTTTAATTTAATTTAATTTAATTTAATTAACTTAAATATGTAAAGAGCCACATGTGCCTAGAGGCTACTGTATTGGACAGCACAGTCTTAGAACATTGCCTGGCACACAGTAAGTACTATTCCATATTTGTTATTACACTATGACTCGAATCAGATCTAAAAACTCAATGTGGCAAACATTAGAAGAATATGATCATTGTCTGAAATTCCGTTTTTAAAGCATTACGGCACTTTTGACAGGAACAGTGACAGCACTGGTATATACATGAATTAGAAGTTAACATGTTTCCTAAATAAGTGGGTAGTTAGGCTAAAAATGTACGTAATAAAAAGACTTCATTTCCCAGTGACTGGAATATTCTGAAAGGGCAAAAAGAAAAATTAAATAAGCAAGAATATTCCAGTATCAATATCCCAGTGACTGTAATATCCTGATAGAGCAAAAAGCAAAAATAAACAGGAATAGATTTGAGATGAATAAAAGAAGCTGTAGGATTAATTAGCAGACTATGAGATCCCTGAGGGCTATGACATTGTATAATTTCTCAGTATTATTAAGAACCTGCCACATGGTATTCAAAAGCCAAACTCCATCCTTAGAATTTACATTAAGACTTTGGAAATAAGCACTTGATCTTAAGTATAAAACCTAGGCTCCTGTAGTGGTTCTAACCAAAGGGTACAAATAAAACTCTAAATTATCACACCCCACTATTCCCTATTTAAACAGAAGGGGGGGAATCCTATTTCCCATGCAGATTTGTGAAAACAAAAAAATATAAAACTTACCTCCACTCAATGTCCCATGAGGATCAAATACATCACCTCCTAGAGTTACAGTTCTAGTCATTATCCTTTTATCAAAGGCCACTTTTTTGGCATTATCCATATTGTCACAAACAAATGTTGTTCCAAAGACAAATTCCATTGCTTTCTGAAGTTCTGGTTTGTATTCAACCAGGGAAAGAGCCACATGAACATTGTTAGGGCCAACCTGTGGGAAAATAACAGAAATGCCATAGTACATACCATTTTCCTTTTCATTCAAGTATTATTTTATAAACTAGTAAAAACTGCTATAATAGAAATTAAGTAACACTTACCTCACATTAACATTCTTTTTGAACTTTCTAAAAAGCTATGTAAAACTCAAAGTTTAAGAAAACAAATTGCAGTTTAAATACTGAAGGATCTATTGCTAAGAAAAATACTTAAAATATCAGGCATTATGAGATTTTCTATGAAGAAGGAGTCAATACCAAGTTTCCAAATCCAAAATGCTCTATTTGGACACAACTTTCTTAATTACAAGTACAGTAATTCCCAGATCAACACAATTACATAAAATATTTTGTCTCTATTACTAGGAATTTGGTTGTTCCACAATGAATATTTTTTCTTTCAAATTAAACATGCTAGAGTAGTCTCACCTGCCAGTTACAGAAATAAAGACACAACTAACAAATAGAAGACTGAGGGATTTTTAATTTTTTTACTCAGAGTAAAAAAATTAAAAATCCCTCAGTCTTCTATTTTAATCCAACTGCCTTTTCTCAACCTTTGTTTATAATGTCAAGCTCTGCCCATCCTTTTAGAGAAACTAAGCATTTCTTATGGAGCTTGGTAATAGCAGCAGGAATCACAGTGAAGGCAGTTCTATGTAATTATGTTTGGTATCGTTCTTTGACATAGCAGCTACCATTAAACAGGTCTGGCTACTGGATCTGAGCAAAAGTATTTTTGGTGTTACCTGAAATCCCAATTTACTTCTAACACTGGGATTTGACTTCTGGCTGAATGAAGTTCCTGAGCCTTCTTGACCCAAAGGTGATTTTTCAAGTAAAGGAAGTACCAACCAAAAACATCATCTTTCAATTTTTCTCCACTCATCCTTCCTCTCCTGATAGTATACACATCAACACAACTGTATTTTGAAGTCATTTTCATTGAAAGCTTCTCAATTTCAGTAAGGACGTTGTATATCCACTTAGTATCTTATAGAAATACAAATGTATTTCTAGGTTTTTCAGAACCGTCTTTTCTACTCATACACTTGGAATGCCTGCTCAATAACAAACAGATATTGCCGTTGAATGTCATGACTGGCTTCATGTTTTTACCCAGTATTACACAACCACTATAGCATTTTAAATGTATTATCTTTGTACCCATCTACTTCCTTACAAGCAGGCATACTACTTTAGATCCACCTCAGCAGTTGACTGGGATCCCAGTCACCTACTATGTACATCCACAGGCTGAACAGCAATCTAGAACTCTAAAAAAGAAACATCTATGCAATACTGATAAATGCCTTCAGTACTGTGATAATGGTGATCACTGGGGGCAGTTTAAATGTGCCTGACATAAAAAAATCATGAAAAATTTTAGATATTTATCTATAAGCTCAATTCTAACTATTCAGAAATCAGAAGTGTAATTTTTACTACCTGACAGATATATGACTTGACCTAAGGTTTAAAGCCACTCTAATACTACACCTTGAAGTATCAAAGAGAGTTGTAGCCTTCCAACATTTCTATTCTCTTGTCATCTAATTGAACAAGAGCCAACTCTTTTTATTTTTTGTATCTTAATTTTTTAAGAATGGTTAACAAAATTAAAAATTGTGTGGTTCTGCATATAATTGTCCTCCAAAATTAACATCTTCTAACTTTAAAAAAAAAAAAAATATATATATATATATATATATAGATTAAACACATAAGTAGGATAAAATAAGACTTACAAGATTCTGAGCAACCTTCAGAGTTTCTGGAGCAATACATCTGGCTGAAATTTTATTGAGTGGAATTATGGTGTATCGTCGCTTCAATTCCCCTTTTTCCAGTAGCTTTTTACCAGTAACCTAAAACATGCATTTGAAATTTAAAAAAACATTAATATTGATGACAGAAAAGATTAAAATGAAAAGAATGCAAGTTTAAGAATCCATAATCAAATGTTTCAAGCCTTCTATCCCAAACAATCAAATTAAGATTATATACACAATGGAATATTATTCACACTTAATAAAGAAGCTGCCCTTGCAACAACCTGGATGAACCTGGAAGACATTATACTAAGTGACATAAGCTATACACAGAAAGAAAATACTGTATGATCTCACTTATATGCAGAAACTAAACAAAGAGAAGAAAAAGAGAAAAAAGAAAGTCAAATAAATAGAAATGAAGAGTAGAACAGTGGTTACCAGAGGTGAGGAGGGTGAAATAATGTATAGAAGGAGGTAGTAGGTCAAGGGGTACAAATTAGCAGGCAAGTAAGATGATTCAGTCTAGAGAGGTAATGTACAACATGAAAACTACAGTTAATAATATTATATAGTGCACTGAAAATCTACTGAGAGTAGATTTTAGGTGCTCATCACGCACGTTAATAATATTATATAGTGCACTGAAAATCTACTGAGAGTAGATTTTAGGTGCTCATCACGCGTGCACACACACACACACACACACACACACACACGGTAACTATGGAAGGTGATGGATATTCTAATATGTTTGACTGTAGTAATCACCTAATTATGTATATGTATCAGAATATCATTTTGTACAACTTAACTGTATATGATAAAAAAATTTTTTTTTAAAAAGTAAATTCAATAATGACTATCTAGCATTTATATGAAAAAATAAGAACATTCTACAGATAGATAAAAAGTTAGAATTGAAGAAAGGCAGAAAAATCCAGTATTTCCTTGATGGGAGGACTATCATTAAAAATAGATTATTTATCCCCAGATTATTTTACAAATTTAAGTAAATTCAAACCTAAACAGCAACCCCCCCCCCCAAAAAAACCAAAACAAACCCTAAGATTGATATGCATACTGAGCCCCTGAGTAGGCATGGGAGGCATGAGACTACCTTTGGAATACAGTAATCAAAACGTCATTAACTGAATAGTTTTACCCTATAAAGTACGTGACCGTAGAAGCTTAAACATTAAATATCCAATTCTTCTAGAAGCACATGAATTTTCAAGCTAAACAGCAATTTTAAATCTTCTTTAATTAAAATCAATTTACCTCTGTGTCTACTACAACATTGTAGAGTCGTTCTCCAGCCACCAATTCTAAAGCTGTGGTTGCAGAAGTATCTTTCACACTAATCAGAGAAGCTACAAGTCCCTTCACACAATTTCTATTCCAGTTCTTCTCTGGATCCCTAAAATAGAAGAGTCAACAAAAATTAATCATAAATAAAAAAACTGAAAAAGTTATACTTTACTAGTGAAGAGCTCTTTTGAACAATATATTAAACTGCGATGAAAGCAGAATAATCACATAGCTTTAACAAAACAAAAATTTTTAAATGTCCCAGATGACTAGCCAGCTATTGATTTTATTGATCAAAAGATCTTTCAGTAAGTTTTCAATGCAACGAAAACAACTTTAATGTTCTAAACTCTGTAACATACGATTACTGTAAGTATTCCATTAAAAAACCCATGTAGCAAAACAAATTATAAGATGTAAGTGCAGATACTTAAAGTAATGATAGAATAACTTTAAAGATACTTTGAACTGAGATTAAATTCTCATTTTAGTTTTAAGATTAGTTCTATCAGTAGCCATTAAATTTCACAAGAATCCCCCCTCCCCAACATTTGACATGTTTCATTAAATGTTTAAGGAAGAAATACGAATTAAGGAAAAGCAGCTTAAAAGAATTTTCATACAAAAACCTTGGTGTCAACAAAATTTGCAGATTGCCTTCCAGCTCAGATAAAGATATATCTTGACTGTTACTATGTTAAATCTTACTTGTATGCAAATCGAAGATTGGGAAATCTGGCCAAGAGAGCTTCATATGTTTCTTTCAATCTACTGATATCACGAGACAGCTGCCTGCGCTTTTCCAGAAGGCTTGCCTCCTTATTTTCTGAAGAGTAAATCATAAGTAAATTGAAACCAAGTTTTAAAAACTCAGGTATTCTATTGTTTTAAGGAAAATATTAGTAACCTATTGTTTTAAGGAAAATATTAGTAACCTCTATTTCCAAAGCATTCCTAAAAGAAAAATATAACCTCCTATTAAGTATGAAATAAAAAAAGCATGCTTAACATTCAAATTTCTATCAAGTGTCAAGCAGACATTATTTACAATACATAACACAAACTTCGACCCAAGAAACAACATATGAATTAAATGTCTACTAATGTGGAAATACACAAATGACATTTTTGAGATTCCAAATGACTGAAGAAGTAAATTCTCAATCATGAGTTCTCAAAAATTCAAAGTGCTATTGTACCATTAGATATTTTTGTGACTATATTTAAAAACACTTCTTATACTAACACCATCAATATAGTAAAAAATGTTTCCTACTTGCTTATTTCCTTTATTTAAGTTAGTTTCTATCAACAATCATTACACTGCCTAATGACTTGATTATGTTTTTAAAGGCAAACCTTCATAATTTAACTTTTTCATTTCAACTTCAAGTTTTTCTTTAAGTCTCTTTACAGCTTCTAAAGCTTCTTTATCCTTCCTGTAGCCACTATCCATCTTCTTAACTTCTGCTTGTTTATTCTTTAATTCCTGTTGGGCATGTTTCAACTTCATCTGAGCCTGTGATAGAAAAATGTAACAGTGGCGGAAGGTGCTGGTAACTAAGTGACTAAGTGAACATAGATTCAGACTGATTTAATAAGAGACCTCAACCTTGAAAATGTAACTGTTTGTTCTCTTCGATTAGTATTTCAATAGATCTTTTCCCAGTATTTCCAACTCAAAAAACTGCTGAATATAAGCTAATACATGATTAATAAAAATCATTAAATAATTTGCAATTTAAGTCCATATTTTTCTATCTATAAAATATGACAAATTAACAACGTTGAAAAATTATATAAAAAAATAACTATCTGGTTAAATTAAAAACAACAGAAAGCTAGAAATCACAACTCTAATTCCCTTCCTTTCCACTTAGGTGTTTATATTTGTATATATTTGTGAGTGTTTTTATATTTGTAATACATTTGCAGTGGAGAAGGTGCATTGAGCAATGAGAAATAAAATTATATAGAAAAGGGAAGCTAAACTGGCAGAAATTTAAATGCTAGGAGGCTGACATTTAAATGCTTTTGAACTTCAGAAGTCTGAAGTTTATATAATTGAACACTGGCTTCTTAAAACCATGACCAAGTATTCTAAGACCTAGATGAGGATATCCTTCCTCTAAAATTGAATGACAGATGTTTCACAATTTCTTTACAAAACAAGTTAATAGAAGATTGAGAGTACTTTAAAGTTTTTCTACTATTGAGTTCTTACAATTTTTTGTGACTATCATCTCCGTCAGCCCTGAATGAAACAGTTGCAAATACATAAATAGAAAAACTTGAATAGGATTAGTAAACACACGCACACATTTATGCACATATATTTTTAAAGCTGAGTCCTCCATTAAAAAAAGAATAACAGAATGTAGGTGTGTGTACTTATATGTATATATATATATATTTTTTCCTACCAGCCAAACTCTTTTGTGTTCATAGGACTTTAACCTATAGTACTATTTAAACAAATTTGAGAACCATTATAATAGATTGACAAGACTTTGAAGATTACAAAACCACAGTAGGGAGACCAAATGTGGGTAAATGTGAGATAAAGATATTTCCTAGAAAGATATAGTAAAGTTTCAGAAACAAGGTTTTAAGGACTAAGTATAGTAGGCAAAGCAATGAAGAGGAATTTTTATTTTCCTGTTAAACGGTAAGACTTCAACATTATAATGTCAATAAAAACAAATAAAACAGCCAAAAAGGACAAGAAAAAATTTGACTAACCTCCAATATTCTATACAACGCCACAAACAGAACAAAGTACTTATTGCACTTACAAACTGAATTCAAGTAATTTATGTTTTACAGCATCTAGACAAATCAACATTATCAATATTTGGAAATCAACATATCTGAATTTTGTTGTATTAGGTACTATAGAGTTGCAGAATAAAGTAAACAAGTTCCTTGAACTGAACTGATTATTTTAAACATTTTGTAACATTGCCAAATCATAATGTGAAAAGCAGCTCCTTAGGGGAAAAAGAAAAACCAAAAGCAACCACATAGCACTTAATGTCTATATTTACCTGTTTGGCTTCTGTCTGAGCTTTACTTATATCATTTTTACAGGCCATCATTTGACCAGCAAGAGTTGCTTCGGCTCCATCTTCATTACTGGACAGGCCTGCAGAAACAGCATTGAAGTGCTGCTGTGCAGCAGCAAAAGCTTCGGAATCTTTACTACTTGCTTCTTGAAGGGCATGCAGCCCATCTGCTATCTTTTTAACTTCTTTTTCCTTTGCTGCTAAAGTTTTAGAGTCCTTTAGAAAGGGTTTCAAATTGGAAAACATTTTATTTTAGGAAAAACATCCATTTTCTTATACATACAAAAGACATATATTTTCTTAGACATTTTCTTATTGATACATACATACCCTTATGTCATCAAGCTCCATAGCAATTTAAAGTTTAAAAACTTAAAGCAATTGAAAGTAAAATAATTTAACCATCATAACTTCAAATACTGAATTCCCATTTTGAAATTTTGTCTCAGTTTTGGGGATAAATGTAACCCTTATACTATCTGCAATATTTTCATTTCATATAGTCAAATCTAGAAGACAATGGGCTAAAAAACCACTGCATACTTAAACCACTTGAAGAAACTAAAAATCAGTTTCTAGGTCTATGAAATTAAAATAACAGCCATCTTTTACTAAGCTTAAATGTAGAGGTAAGAGCTTGTATACAAAAATATTTTAAAACTATTAAGGGCCATAAAATTTAAGAATTAAATAGTTGTGGAAAAAGTACTAACACTTAATACCTTTCAAGTAATATTAGTCATATATATGGCACTATACAAGATAACAGCACTGAAAAAAAACCTAGCTAACTTGTTCACACGAAAGTAACCAGAAATTCTGGTCCACTTGATTAGTTCATGATTCATCAAATATTTATTGGGTACTTACTATATACCAGACACTGTGCTAAGACATTAAAGACACAGACTCAGACCCCCATCCTAGGGGAGCCTATATTCTCAAGTGGAAAATGTAGTAAACAAATACACAAAGCAAGGTAAAGGAACAAAAAGTGATAGGAACTACTATTTTAATAAGGACAGTAAGGAGGAAGGCCTGAGGGAGATGACATTTGAGCAGAAGCGTGAATGAAGTAAGAGGAGTGACCATGCAATTAAATGGGGGGGGGGGGGGAAT